GAGATCCGCCTGGCTCTGCCTTCCGAGTGCTGGGATTAAAGGCGTGCACCACCACTGCCCGGCTAAATGCTTTTTTTTTTTCATAACAGATGTGTCTATTGGAACAAATTACTAACAGGTGTTCAATTAATGACTATTTCATAACTGAGGACCTGAACAAATGCTTCCTTTGTGAAGGACAGAAACAAAAATTCACTGAAGGTCTCCAATGCGCATGCTCTCCCCCTAAGCTTCTCTTTCCTGGAGCCCTAAGTGAAGGTCAGAAACCTGGGGGTTTTATTCTGTTTTCCTCCCTGATCAACCTGTTTGATTGTCAGTTCATCTGTTTCTCACATTCTGCCCCCTCTTCTGCTGCTGCCAGTGTTCAGCTCAGATGCACCCCTTTTCCTTCAGTTACCATAGAATTCGTGATAGCTTTTTGCTTAGGATTGGTGTCTGTGGCCTTTTCTCAGACAGGGCCCTGCATAGCTGCATTTCCCACAGCACCCCACCCATGGGCATGCTGCCCTGTTCTTTTCTGAACTGCGGGGCCTCAGGTCCCCAGAGTGGAAGGCCCTAACTTTCATCCTTAGCCTGTTGAACTGAATGCAATGGCTACCTCTTCGTCACTGGGTTCTCACTTCTGGTCTCTGCTTGTGCCCTTGTAGCCCATGTCCTCTGTCAGTCCTACAATTGTAGGTCTGTCTCTACTGCTGGATTGGAAGGCCCTTGCAGTCAGAGACCTGTTTCTTTACTGTTTTTCTTGTTTGTGGTGCCTAGCCCAGCCACCTTCCCAGGCAGTTTGCCATCTATCCACACTGGGTTCTCGATCATGTTGTTCTAGTATTAAACACCAGAGGGCGGTGTTAGCACGCGGAGGAATGAGATTAGGAAAACCTTGCTTCTGTTTGGGGAATTAGCAGTAATGTGCTCACTTGTTCTAAACACGTTAGTTCAAGTTTATTCATAAGGTGTATTTATGTTTAGGGTTAGAGATGAATATTAAAGTTAACAACGACACTACCACTCAGGTCAAATCCTTAAACAAGACTACCTTTATAGTTCCTCTAGACTCACAGTGGCCTTCTTAACCCTGGCTTGCCTTCCCCCACCACCAACCGATGACTTCCAGTCCCAAGGGATATTTAATATGGTTCTATTGCTCTTCTGAATTGCCTTCCCACACATATACATACACATATGTGCACACATGCAGACACCCACACACAGCCACAGTCTGTGGTTGGTGGTCCAAAGGCATGGACAGGACAGAGATGCTGTGAAAAGCAGCATCTCCACAGTGTCACCCCCCACCCCCACCCCCACCCACCCTGTGTTCCAGGCTGACAGGAGGTGAATCACAACATCGTGGAGGCCCTAGATGAAAGAAGACTCCTTTGTGACTAAGCAAGGAAACCCCATTTTATTTTTTTTCTTCCTCTTTTTTTTTTTTTTTGGAGCTGAGGATCCAACCCAGGGCCTTGGGCTTGCTAGGCAAGCACTCTACTCCTGAGCTAAATCCCCAACCCCGGGAACCCCATTTTAAAGGATCAGACATCATGAGGCTCAGATGGAGGAGAGAACCTGACAGTCCCTCCCCCTTGGCCCTGGCCTCTTGACCCCAGCCTGCATGCATGCCTGATAAACAGGAAGGCATCCGCGCCATGAGTGTCCATCCTTCTCAGTGCATCTGAAACCCGTCTGGGCCATCAAAGCCATCCCTAGCCATCAGGATCAGACAGAAGAGACATCATCCTCAAGGAAACAATCCCCCATTGTGTTCCACTCCTTGGAAATGGTGAATTTGTAAACAGGCGCTTACATTTAGACAGATCCTTCCCTGGCTTTGTGTGGGAGTGTTGTTTTTTCTTCCCTGAACAATGTCCTTTCCATTTGGGCCAGCCGTTCACACTATTGTCCTAGACCCTTGGACTACAGGAAACAGCGCCAGATTCTTATCAGCTGAGGCAGTGGAGGTGGTATGCACAATGAGATCATGCCCACAAAGCAAGCTGCTGTTCTGACAAATCATTCTTCTATATCTGTATCTATGAGAGCAGAACTGCCCTGACCTCCCAACAGGCCAATCTGGACTTCAAGTGTCGCCAGTATAGACCCTTTTATTTGAAGGTAGACACCTGGATTCTGTTCCAGAACTTTTTTTTTTTTAATTCACCTTGGATCCTAATCAGGTCACGGCTTTCTGATGGCCCTGATTGTCCTCTCTGTCCAGTGGTGTACACATGGGAAACAGATACCATTGTTAGATTAGAGACTTTGAGTCTGCTCCTCCCTGCATCCCCCATCAGCGGAGCTCCTGGGAATAGGCTACCAGCTGGCTGGAGGCCTCTGGGAAGAAAGCCCAGCATCCCTTACAAGCCTCCCTGGAGACTTTGTAGCAGTTCTTATCCCCGACATAGAATGATTGAGGAACTAGAAATTTCCTTAATGAAGCTCCATTGAAGAAAGTGAAAGGCTTCATTATATATAAGGTGGCCTCAGAGGGAAAGGGGCCAAGGTGAATAGGCTGGGCAGGGGGAGTGGGCACCAGGCCTTTGCTGCCTTCCTCATTTCCAATATTCCAGAGAGGAAGGTGAGTCCGGAAAAGAAGCCGGGTGGGACCCCAACAATCCCCAAGCTCCTTATCAGATACTGAGTCCAAATCTGACCCTGCCTACTACTTTCCAAGTTTGTAGTCTTACAAAAACATGGAGATTGGTTTCTGTTATGTTCAAGCTTCTCCTCATGGAGTGCCCCACCCCCTGCAGCCCAGGACACAAATGAGACAAGACTGGGTCATTATCTCGATGAAAAGTGGACTATTTCTGAATACCTCTCTCCTACTTTTAAGAAAATGGTGCTTGGGCGGTGGTGGCACACGCTTTTAACTCCAGCACTCGGGAGGCAGAAGCAGGTGATCTCTGTGAGTTTGAGGCCAGCCCGGTCTACAGAGTGAGTTCCAGGACAGCCAGAGCTACAGTTTCAAAAAACCAAAACAAGCAAACAAACAAACAAAAAAGGTGCTACACAGAGAAGCATCCATTTCCTGGGCTGACAGAGGTGTGTGAGTTGGTCCTCCAGGGAGCCAGGCTGCTGCTGCCAGCCTCCAGTGAGGACTGTCTTAGAGGAGACAGTCTCCTGGTAGCTGCTATATGTCCATTCCTCAAGATTCTTGGGGCGTCTGAGACCTGACTCAAGCTTAACTAAATGAAAGAGATGCACAGAAGTCATTTGAGACAGCAAAAGGGGTTGTTCCTCTTGTTCTGATAAGTTCCCCACCTTTCTGGAGAGATGGCTCTGCTCAATTTCAGGCCAGCCGCAGGCTTGAGGTGAAACTCAGCCCCTCTTCCTCCCATACACACAGATAACCATACTAGACACTGGAAGAGCCGGAAGAGACTGAGGAGACAGGCTGCGGGTAGGAGAATGGGAGCCAGAGCAGGAAAGACCCCAGACCCACAGTTCCTTACGCTAGTGGGTTTACAGTTCTGCCAGGGTGGAAGGGCCTATTTTGGTGAAGGAAGCGGGGACTGACTGACATCTGGGAGTCAGGGCCTCCAGTGTTTACCGACTCGGGAGGCAACGATTAACAAATTAACTTCATGTGTAAAGGGAAGGAATTAATCTAATCAGCACTTTTTTAAAATGTGCTCTTCAGAACATAGAAACAAGATGTTAGCAGCCCTGCAAAAATGCAAACAAGAGACAAAAGGCCATGCCACAGCAGGGAGGAGGTGGGTGAGAGACCATCGCAGGAGTCCACAGGGCAGCAGCCTCCAGGCCCGGGGCAGCCATGAACACAGGAATCCTGGAATCTGACAGACCATGGAGACCAGGAGGTCAGGGAGCGTTTTCCTGGGATTAGCAGTTCACAGGACACCATTTTGGCAACACTTGACTAGTCTCTTTGTCTACGCCTCTTCTCAGCTTTAAACCTGTCTGGGAAATCGTGAACAAGGGGTCCCGACAGCAGGGGAAGTATGAGACTCAGAGGGGAAAGCTGCAAGAGAAAGACAGAAGGTGAAACTCTGAGGCCGGAAATTGGGCTTGAGCTGAGAAGGCGGGGTGGGAAGATGGGAGAAGACTTTGGGAACATGGGTGGCAGCGGCCGCTGGGAGCAGGGGCTGCATAGTGTGGCCAAGGGGAAAGGGGTTGTGGCCACATTTGTACCCTGGGCTGGGCCAATGCCAGGTCAGCGCAATGTTGATGTTTCTTAATGGTGATGATGACTTGAGGTGGGGCAATGGAGCATCAGGCTCAGTGAAGCCTAGTGTTTGCAGATGGGGCCCAGGTTAAAAACTGGCCCCGGCTCCAGAGCCAACCTACAAGATGAGACCAAAGCCTGACCTGTTTTGCTAACCTCCAAGGGACCTATCCAAGCTAGACGCCACGGCCAGCTTCCTGGGGGGGTAAGCCGCCATGTCCCTCTGTCTTCGAAATGTTCTTTGTAGTTTTTCCCATCTCCTCCAGCATCACTGTAGTCCATACTTTGGGAAGGATGTCACATGTCTGTGGGGCAGTGGGGATCGCGTGTGCGGTCAGAAAGCCTTCTGAGCATGCCCCGTAGCTTACTCTCAAGACTTCCCCGCCTGCCCAGAAGCTGTAGTCTAGCCTGGCCTGGGCATGATTTTAGTGGCCTTGATGTACATTAGTTTATGTCTTGGAAAGAAGGCAGTACCACGCACAGTTACAAATGTCAAGAGTTGTGATTAAAAAAAAAAAAAAAGGAGGGGAGACGCCTACGTGCCTGCCTGCCCTTGCCAGCTTCTCCTGCCCCCCTCAAAATCCTTCTGAAGCTCCAAAAAGGTCAATTTTCTAAGCCCGCAGGACAGGATTTTCCTTGTGTATTGAGCAATCTTTGCTTTATAGGCAAAGTCGTCTGACTCCTTCCTCTGTCGTACATTGCCCTGTCTGCTAGAAAATGCCATCTAGGCTGACCATTTCCGGGAACACACAGTGTTCTTCCTTCCTCTCGGAGCTCACATCCATCAGCTTAGTACAAAAACACACAGATACAGTCATGATGTAATCGGATGACAGAAATATTTTTTCATCCCTTTCCTTACCGGCTCTTTCCTCATCAGAGCTCAAAGGCAACCACGACAATAAAAATATCAATACTAATTTCAATAAGTATGCTTGGAGGACTGAGAAGCCAAAAAGGCTCATTTCAAAACACCAACACGAACACAGTTCACACATCTGGGTGTTCCCAGGGGCTCGTACCACAGTACCACAGGGAAGGTGGCTGTCGGCAAGAGCTGTCCTATTCCCAAGTATAGGGGTACATTGTTCAGGATGTTGAGTTCCTTCTGCCTGTGTTTTCCAGGGCCACTTCCCCAGAGGAGCCTACCCAGAGCTTGCCAAACGTAGACTCGGGCCAAAGGCCACTGAGGACTGGGCTGCCTGCAGCTTTCTGTCTTCTCAGGGTCTCCTCTCCCCTGCCATCTCCTCTGTCTCCCCTTCCCTTCTTTCCTCTGGCTTCTACCCACTCCTCTCTCCTCTTCTTTCATCCACCAATATCCCAAGGGGCCGCACCCACAAGCAGAAGGACCTGGGTTTGGGCAGGTGGATTTCAGGGCTCCTGTTTGCCAGCTGTGCAAAGCGGAGAGGGTGTGAGCCTTCAGATCCCAGCACCCTGGTGGTGCCAGGTTAGAGGAAATAAACCCAAGGTCTGAACTTCAGTAGAGCAAGAACCTCTATCTTGCTTCTTCATCTTCTGCCCACCCCCTTTTTTCCTTTTTCCTTCTTTTCAAAGGAGGGATCTCAGACTTGCCCTCTTGTCCATCTTGTGCGTCACTAACTAATTCACCCTCAGGCTGGGAATAACTTCTCATTTAATTGACCTCCTCCCCCACTCTGCTCCCCAGCTGGAGAGACTGCTGATGGCCAAGTTCCTCCTCTACAGCCCAAGCCAGATGTGCCCTTGACACTCAGCCTCCCCTGGAACAGCAGGATCACCATTCTACCAGCTTCCTTCGCCACATTCTCCCATGAGAGAGAGAGAGAGAGAGAGAGAGAGAGAGAGAGAGAGAGAGAGAGAGAGAGAGAGAGAACACGAGCGAGCTGGGACATAACTCAGTGGTAGGGCACTTGTCTAACATGCATGAGACCCTGGGTCCAATCCCAAGTACCATGAAAAACACAGGAGTCTTAGAAATGAACCATCATGACCACCCTGTGTATAGCAAATATAGACTCCAGGGCTGGAAATATCTGGCCTACCCAGAGACTCCTGAACCGATTGATGTCACTTTGATTCTTGAGGACACCTGTCATGGACCCATGGACCCACCCCTCTCTAGTTCCTTGTAGCCCTAGCCGAAGCCCAGGATACTGATCCTGACCACAGGCTGCAGTTCTCAGAGAGCACACTCGTAACCTCACAGGCCTGAGTGTGCCTGCCTCGTCCTTAGAAAGGTAGCCCACGCTTCCGGCTCCCACCCTGGATCTGCCTTCTTCCTCTCTCTGCCCCTCAGACCCTCCTCCTCCCGACCCTCAGGAAGGGACCCTGATGGTGAGGTGTAGGTACCCCACAAACCTGGCCTAACAGTTTGGGACCTGGAAAATAGGTATCATGCTGTGAGACAACTCTTCCTGGTGTCAAAGGGAGCCAGGCCACTTTCCGGTTCTAGCAATTCCTGCCTAAGTCTGAGATGGTGGTGGACTGAGGCAGGGAAACATCTAGATACCAAAGCATGGAGGCAGATGAACAAAGCTCCCCGACCTCCTCGCTCTGCCACCTTCTCTCACACCTCTGGTGGGGCAAGTACTTCTTCACAGGTGCCAGCTTACCAAGCTACTTTCCCCTTCTCTGGTGGACGGCCAATATATCCCCTCAGAGCCACCCATACACCCACTCAGAATGGCCATTGTTCTGCAAGCTGAGAAAGAACCACCCAACCCATTTGCCTCTGGGCACAACCGGAAATGTGCTCCGGAAGCCACACCATCTCTGAGAACAAATAGCAGGCCCCTTGGGACTCCAAGTGGTCAGGGGGTGCCAGCTCCAGCCTGGGACTGAGAACACAGAGAGGGGCAGGGGTAGGCTGAGGTGCACAGCCCTTCCCACCGGCCTCTAGTCTTTCCTGCAGGTGGTAGAGATTGCCATCTCTAAGAGGTAGGCAGGTGCCCTGGCCTCCTCTGCCCTAGCTGGGTGGGAGGAAGATGTTGTTGAGTCTCCCAGCCCAGCCTGTCCACCCCCTCCTCAGCCATCTTCTATGTGGCTTCTACCTCCCTAGGTGTCCGATTGTGCTCAGCCAGCACCCGGCTCTTCACCTTCTTGCCCAGCTCCAGCCCTGCCCAGCTCTTCCCCTTAGCCTGCTTTCCCCTGCCCCGGAAGGAGCCTGAGCGCTCCCCAACACCCCTACACCATACACGCTCACAGTACTCATCCACACGGGGCAGGTTGGCGAAACCAGCGAGCTGAAGGATGTCCTTATACCAAGTCTTGGGTGAGGCGGCGGCCAGGCCTCTCCAGGCTGAGGGCTCCTCTAGCCGTGGCTCCTGAAGGAACAGGCTGTCCAGCTGCACAGCTGCAATCACCTCCAGGGTAAAACGAGCTACAGTCTGGGAGAAGCCATGCTCCAGTGTGGTACAGGTATAGTTTCCTGCGTCAAGGCGGCTGAGCCTCCGGAACAGCAGCCCCTGTTCTGTTTGCAGAACTCGCTCATCTGTCTTCACCTACAGGGTGGGCCGGGGAGCACAGGAGACCTTAGCAAGGAGTTGGGGAGGACGGTCCCCTCATTCTCTTGGCCCTGCTTTTCCACACTTACCATCCTCAGGGTCCAAGCCTTGGGGCCTCCCCTTAGCCTATTCCCTCCTCCCCAAGATGGGCCTAGTAGCTTAACAGGATCTCAGGGCAGACTATAAGCTCATTGCAGGCAGGCAGGCCCTCCTCTTCCCACAGCACAGGACAAGGACCTATAAAGGAGGCTTTCAAAGACTGAATGGCTGGGTGTCCCCAGGTCAGAGCCCTAAGACACCAGCTTCATAAACTCTGCAGGATCACCCAGGGAGCAGAGGAGTTAGGTGCTATCTAATGAGATTTTACTCTGAGTTAAGGAAAATTCTACACACACACACACACACACACACACACACACAAGCAATCATGCTAGCCTTTCCCTGTCTTGGTCTGTCCTAGTCACTCCCCCACAGTGTGAGGCCCACAGCCCAAGCCTGGGGTGGGCTAAGTGCCCACTTGAGTGTGGGAGGCAAGAGCTGGCTCTGATCCCAAGCTCTTCTACTAACCCTGTTCTGGGCTTCGGTCTATGCATCTGTGCGCTGAGGGTGAACCGCCTGGGTGGTTAGCATTGTGTAACCTCATCTTGTTGCTCCCCCTACTCTAGGGAGTCTCCTCAGTGCCCAACCCAACAGCTGGTCCCAGGCTTGCCCTCCCTGGCTCCCGAGCTGAGGAAGAGCCCCTCCTGTAATCAAAGCCCTCCTCCGCTGTCCCTCCCCATGGGAAAACCCTTCCCAACTCTGCTCTGCCTCAGGCCCCAGACTGAAGCCATCTTGGGGGTTGATAGACCTTCCCAGTCAGGGGGGAGAAGAGGGCTTGGGCAGACAACTGGCTTCTGAGGAAGAAGCATAGGGCTAGGCATAGGAGGCAATAGAGTGGTCAGGGACCAGGCTTGAGGCAGAGACCAATTAAGAAACTCTGGGGAAGAGATCCCTTCAAAGCTGAGCCACATGTGTTAGGATGAGAACTTCCAGACCAACATAGATCTCTCTTCAACCTCTGCCACCCCCCTCACAGGCTAGAGAGACTGTAGCTACATCCAGCCTAGGTACCTCCAGAAGCAGAAATATGGGCAGGTCCTCATAGGTACCCCGGGGTATAATTTTTCTCAGGATGATCTTTGCCAGTTCACCCCAGAGTCCCTTTCCAGAGCTTAGGGAGAAAAGTGGATCTCAAGGCAGGGTCTTCACTCACCTGGTCGGTCCCCTCATCGCCTGGCCTCTGTAAAAACCAGCGTACTGCAGCTTGGGGAGACTTGGGCAGACACTCAAGGAAAGTGCTGTTGTGCTCTGTGCCAAAGACTCTGGTCACCAGTCTTGAAGCTTCCTCTGTAGAGAGGAGCGGGTCACATCAACTTGGGAACTCGGTCAGCCGGGCTCTGAGGGTCACAAACTAACTCCCATAGGATACCTGTGTGATACTTAGACATCCAACAATCCCAAGCCACTCTCAGTACCAGAAGACGCTGTCCTAAGACCCCAAGTGTAGCTGCACAGATAGGGGAACTGGGGACTTTATTACAACACGACTTTTCTAAGCCCATGCTTCCCAGGGATGGAGCCCAGGCCACAGGCTGACCCACATCCTGAGCCCACCACTCACTGTCTTGGCTCTGGCCCTGGCCCAGACACTGCAGAGCGGGGTTGCCATGTCGGATGTCCTGCCTTCGGAACCGGCGCTTGCCCAAGCTGGGGCGGTATCGGGTACAGGAAGCACCATCCCAGGCGCAGTACGGGTCCCTGGCCAGGCAGCACTCAGCACAGGCAGTGCCATAAGTCTCACACTGGTGCAGCCGCAGCCGGGCCACGCCCCGTGGAGAGCCCACGTACAGCGTTTGCTGGGGAAGGAACACAAGCAGAGTCATGGTGAGCTGGGCTTCACCAACAGGCTCTCAACCCCCAGGGTTTCCCGAGACCCATCAGTTTCAGGAAGGCTTCCAGAACCCCTCGGATTCCTTCACAAGACCAGAGATGCCGAATGTGTTCCAGATCCTGTGCTAGGCTGTGAGTGGAGCGGGGTGGCCTGTGGCTTTTCTATAAGAGACTTCTTCAGGCCTTCTTTGCTGTCAACCTTTGCACCCTAGCCTGAGGGACTTCGTGTGATTGGCCTCTCCATGACTTCAGAACTGTACCTTGCAGGCATGGCCAACCTTTTGACATTGTGATATGGCGCTGTCATCTGCAAAGTTCATGCATGAGCAACTGAGTTATCAAAAACAAACTGGGGGGTGGGGTGGGAACCAACTCAGGTTTTAAGTAAGTTTATGATTTTGTGTTGAACCACACTCATAGCTATCCTCAGCCCCATGTCGCCAGTGGGATGTCGGCTGGACACATCTGCAGTAATCCCAGGATAAAAGCTGAGATTTGGCCCAGTGAGATGGTTCTGCAGGGAGAGGTGCCGGCCACCCAGCCTGGCAATCCGAGTTTGCTCCCCCATGTCACACGTGGTCAAAGGAAAGAATCCGCTTCTAGAACCTGCTCTCGGCTCTCCACCCTCCGTTGGCCACGAGAACTTTCAGGGCCTGTAGACTCAGCTACTTGCTCACCCCCACTTGGGCCTGGCAGGATATTTTTGAGAAGTTTAGGAAGTTGGGCTTTACTCCCAGATGCTAGGGCAATAGCTCAGGCAGTCACGGGCTGGAGCACAAGGCCCCAAGCTCGTTCTTCAGAAACTACATGTATAGAGAGCAGGAGATGGTGGCCCCAGCTGCAGTTCCAGCCTGGAGAAGCAGAGGCATGTGGCTTCAGGGCTCACTGGCCAGCCATCTAGCCTAATTGGCCAATGAGCCCATCTCACGGAAAGGTGAGCAGCACCTGAGGAATGACACCTCTAGCCTATACATAGACAGACAGACAGACAGATAGACATGCATGCCCCCCCCCACACACACACACACAATGTAAGCTGTGATTTACCTAAAGACAAACTGGGACAGAGTATGTTAAGGGCATACAGCATACCACTAAAAGAAGTAACCTTGTTTGATTAGAAGTCTGGATTTTTGTTTCCAAGCCGATTTGCGTCCCTTAGAAGGCTACCCCAGGGGTTTTTGTGGCTTTATCTGAACACATGAAGCTCCTGCTCCCAGCTGGACTTGGCCTTAGCTGCAAGACCTAATCAAATCTGACAGACCCAGCTCTCCAATAGAATCCAAGGCAAGTTTAAGGGAGGGGGTATGGGAGAGGGGCAGCCTTACCCTTTTGACAGAGATCTCCATCTGGGTGATGGGTGTCGGCACCTAGAGAAGGGATGGGAGTCTTAGGATGGGTTGGTGAAGGCTGTGCACAGCACCCCTGCTTTCAGCATTCCCCCAGCCCTGTGTGGGAGGCAGTTGCCCCCCACCGGATCACTACCTCCTGGCAGCAAAGGATTGGATGGGGTTGGGGAAAGGTGGTGCTTGCCTGTAATCTCAGCACTTGAGCAGTCAAGGCAGGAAGTGACCAGCCCGCCCGCTCTATATAAGTCTCAGTCTACGCTAGGCTACATAGAGAGACACAGTCTCAAAAATACAAACAAATGCTGGGTACAGTCACACACGCCTTTAATCCCAGTGCTTGGCAGGCAGAGGCAGGTAGCTTTCTCTGAGTTCTACATAGTGTGTTCCAGGATATATATATAGTCACAAACAAACAAACAAACAAACAAAAAAGTCTGGATAGTCTTTTCCCGACATCCAGAAGGGTCCCCTCATCCTGGCTGGCCTCCAGTCCAAGTGGGAGGCTTGGCACAGAGTTCCACTGTCCCCTCCCACAGTGTTCCCCAGCCATGACCTAGCTGCCCTAAATCATTTACTTCATGTCCAGAGTCAAAATAGCCCCCAAATAGAGACAATCCCTGTCCAGATACATGGGGGGAGGAGAACTCTTGGGGACTTGGAGTCTCAGCCACTTTGTCACTGCACCGTGAGCCTGACAAGGCTGTGTCAAAAGCGCTCACCTCGGCTCTCCCTCCCCAGAAAGCACCAGGCATTTGAGTCCACAGTCTGCTACCTCGGCTCTCCCAGTAACTCAGAAGCATCCAAGGGCCTCTTCAGCAGTGTGCGCCATATTTTGAGCCTATCCCCTGGGTTCACTCCCCTGGAACCTACCCCAGGCCCAAGGGTGGGAGTCCGAGCCTCTCATTAACCCATGCTCACCTTAAACACCTGGAGCTCCTCCAGAACTACCTCTTCAGGCTCAGCCAAGCCGCTAACATGGAGGGCAATGACTTTGAGCACAGACCCTGAATCTGGAGGAGAGGCACAAGGGTTAGTGAGACAAGAAGGAAGGAGCCACCCCCTCCCCACAAACCTGGCTACCTCTGTTCGGCCCTCCTACCAGTCCCTAGGAAGATGACATCATAGGTCCCATCCTCGGCCTCCACTCGGTCCACCACAATCTGGCGCAGCTGCTGAGCTAAGTTAGTTTTGACCAGGACGGGCCGTCCACGCCTAGGCCTCACAGGCTGGAACATGAGTGGGTGGTCTCGGACAAACTGCAGCACCTCATCCGGGTAGTCCTTGGTGCTGCCAAAGGGTCGCCCTGGCTGTGCCGTCATCTTGCTAGGGCACTGGGAGCAGAACACAGGGGACACTTGAAGTCCCTAGGATGGCACGGCCAGGCCTCTTTCCACCTCCAGGGGGCCATGCCCATAGCAGGGGCTCTCCTCCCAAGCCCTCTGGAGGTCCAGCCCCCTACTGCCATGGGATGAATGTAAGCCTGAAGCTTTCCTACGGAGGAGCCCTCCCCCACCTGCACCATCTACTTAGGGCTCCTTCGCCTGGTTCCAAGCAGCTGCTTACCACACCGGGGCGGGGGAAGGGCACCTTGCCCCCATAAGGTCCCCACTGATGCTGAGGGCCATCTCGGTGGGCAAAGGGCCCGTTGAAGACCTCCCAGATGTCCGCCATGTGGTACACACAGACGGCGAAGCCCCGGAACACGGCACTGCCAAGGACAAACAGGGACAGTCAGGCCAGGCCGAGGTGGTTGGGGGTGACGCAGACTGCCTCAACAGGTAGTAGAGAAGATGACAGTGTCTGCCGAAAACAAAGACGGGGACACAGAACACAGAGACAAGTGACGGAACAGAGAGAACACGAGAAAACAGTCACAGCGTCACCAGGCCGGGGTGGCCGGGCGCAGGAAACAGAGGGTGCCCACCTGACAGTGCTGAACAGCGCATACACCTCCAGGTTCTTCCCTGCCTTGGGCCACAGCAGGAACACGTCCTCTGGGACACAGAAAGGGGCGTCAGCGTCATAGCGACGGCCAGTGCTCTGACTTACCCGTTCTGAGCCCTCCCTATTCCAACTCCCTGGTTGGCCATTCCCTTACCCAACTGGTCAAAGTGAGTCTCAGCCCCACCAGGGCCAGGCACAGAGCATACCAGCCTGGCCTTGAGGAAGGTACTCCACTTGTTCACCAGCACCCGCTGGCCACCGGCATCATTCTGGGGAATGGGAGGTTGGAGTGGGCTTGATGTCCCATGAGGGTGGGCCCCACCTCCTGTCCCTCCACCCCAACCGCATGCTTGCCTCAGTTTCTCTACTGTGGAGGGACAGTCTAGGAAAGAGGTCCCAACAGGGGTCTTGAACCTCACCACCCCACCACAGCTCTTACCACACAGACTCGGCCCACACGGCTGATGGTGACATGACCTGGGCCACCATCTGGTGATGGGACAGTCTCAGAGAAGAAGAAATACACCTTGTCGTCATCCCGGTCTGAGTTATCTGGGATCCGAGCAGCCATCACAAACCGGGGGTCTGGGAGAGTGACAGGGTAATAATGGGACAGGGCAAGCCACCACGCCTCCCCCACCCCAGGCGCTGGAGGTGTGGCCTCTCCATCTTGTGCCACATTCTATCTATCTTCTATCATGCCAGTTAGAGAGATGGGTCCCAGGCAACCTTGCCCTCAGGGGGGCCTCACCATGTAGGAGGCTCTGGTCAGAGTCAGAACGAAGGGCTGGTTTGGGACCCCCACTCCGGAAAATCATGGCCTCACGTCCCAGGAAATCAGCAGTGAGGCCTGTGTACAACTCCCCACCTAGAAGGGGCCAGAGTCAGGAGAGAGGCCAGGCCTAGCAACCAGCCCATGCCTTCCCAGGGCCATAGGCCAACTCTCACCCTCCTGGCCCACTCTGGCTTGGTATCACCCACCTACAAAGGTGCTGGCGAAGGGCCGGCTTGGCTCATGTGGGCAACGCCCCCTTCCACTTTCCACCGTGCTGGGCTCCAGGTGGAGCACATGCTAGAGGTAGGAAAAGGGAGCAGGAGGGTGTCACCTGGGAAAGAAGCGGGCCTCAACCCAGGCAGTGACCCTTGCGTGCAACTGAGGCATGGGGTTGGGGGTAGGGGAAGAAATCCTCATTCAAGGCCTCTCTGACGGGGTCAGGACCCCAGCACAAAGGCGTCTTTCAAGCCCCTACCCGCCTCTGTCCAACCCCGGTTCAATGGGAAGCGTTCAGGCAGCAGGGAGGAAATGTGACTGCTTCCCAATCCCTCATGGGCCCGGGCCCAGGCTCACCTCCCCTCGATGCCCTACTGTGATGAGGGTACAGATGGGCTGGAAGGCTCCAGTGCCACAGGCCAGCAGGTGGGTCCGGTTGTGGGGTTGTAAGACTCGTACAAAGTTGGCACACTCTGTCTGCAGGAGGAGGGAGGGGCCCAAGGGTGAGGGAGAAGCGCACCATGTCCTTGGGTTCTAAGGCTCAGCCCCGCTTCATATCAGCTCTGAGGACATGGGTGAAGGTCACATTCTTCCCAGGCCTCCCCAAACACTCAGGATCTGCTCCAAATGCTCCAAGCAGAGGCACCAGGGGCGTGGCTGCAGGGCATTTTGAGAACCAAGGCCTGATACTGAGTGGGCTAGCGAGGTCCTTGTCAACAGTACTCACCAAAGGATCTCTTCCCTTTTGGACACATTCTGCCCTCTGTCCTGGCTGTGGCAGCCACAAGACCTGAAACACAGCCAGTGCCTCAATGCCCTTACACTCAAGGTTTCAAGTTCTCCATCTGGCCTCCCATCTGGGGGTGCCCCACTTTCACCCCCACCAGTCCCGCTCACCTCCCGGGGGTCTGGCCACGCCTGATCCAGCCTCAAAGAGTAGAGGGCATCACGGCCTCCCAGGAAGAGGCGATCCCGATACTCATCCAGGTACATGACTTGAAGGTCTAGGGAGCCCCGTGGACCCAGAAAGAGGGCAGAACGGTTGGCAGACAGGAGATCTGGGAGAGATCGAGGGAAGAGGGTTAGGGTCTGCTACTCAGCCTGCTTCCCCAGCCAGGGGCGGGGAATGAAGATCCCAGCTGTGCACCCACCACACACGTACATCTGGAAAACGTTGCCATGCACAGGATTGCTGGTTGGCTTTTGGGACATGGTTCTTGGGGCAAGTAGTACAAGTAACTCTCAGCCCCCACTTCCCCACTCAATCTAGCCCAGTTTACCTCCATTCTTTTCTTTTTTTTTTTTAAAGTGGTCCTGGAGATTAAACTTAGGGCCACATTGCCACCTTCCACCGTGCTCAGCACCCAAGCTTTCTGCTACCAAGCAAATCCCCAATAACCCTCCTCCCTCCATTCTTCAGACACTTGATCTTTCAGCTGACAGCCTCCCGGGATCCTACATGTCTGTACCTTGCTAAGTGCCCAGGGAAGACAGCCCCACCAACAGAAATCATGTCAGCAAGCCTGGCAAAGAGCTCGGAGAGCCAGGAAGAAGGTGGAAGAGTGTGAACATTTGCAAGACTAGTTCCACTGGGAAGGCGGGCAGGTCCAGGCAGAGGGAACACCACGGCCCAGGGCGGATTAGGCACGGCCAGATGGAACTCCAGCCTCAGAGTTGTGGGCGAATGCTGTACTCCCTCACAGACACTGCCCTGCCAGCTGACCCCAGAGATGGAGGGATCAAGGGCCCCAAGGGTTGTAGGTCTTGCCCTAGTTCCTTGGGGAGATGGAAGTGATGAAAGCCCCGAGTGACCCTATGCCTAGGGCTCCTCAGGCACTCCACTCCATCCCCAAATGCACCGGGCGGCCTCTTCAGGAAGCCCTCCTTGGTTGATATAGACTCCGAAACTTCCCTCTTACAGGCCATTTCTAACAGTCCGATCTCCCCTCAAAGCCAAGGCTCCAGGAACAAGGATACCTGTCCCCCTCTGGCCTCCACAGCGAGCTTGGACCTTCCACCTTGTAAGTGAGGTTCCCAGGGGAAGGTGATTCTTCCTCCCAAGAGAGTCTGCAGGTCTGGTGAGATGGCTCAGCGGGTTAAGACACTTGGTTGCCAACCCTGACCACCTGAGTTTGATCCCTGGGGCCTCACATGGTGGAGAGAACCAATTCCTGCCACTTGTCTTCCGACCTCCACACATGTACAACATACACTGTAGCACATGGGCTCCTGGACAGCACATTTTCTCTCTCTCTCTCTCTCTCTCTCTCTCTCAAAATAAGTAGATAGATAAATAGATAAATAAATAAATGCAATACGTTTTTTGTTGAAGACTCTTAGCCTCAATCATCTTTCCCCATAGACAGTGGCAGTACCACACAGCTAGACAGAATAGAGGGGACCACCTCTGCGCACACACACACACACACACACACACACACACACACACACACACACACACACACACACACGCTGGATGGCAGAGGGAAGCAGAGACTCTCCAGTACAATAGATGGAGAGGAGATGATACAGTGAGCTTGGATGGTCAGGCAGGACAGGCTGAGAGAGGTGGGAGAGGTTCCTCCCTTCCCTGTGGCTCAGGACTAAGTCAGACTTCTACCCACTCCCTTGACGTCTGTCCAGACCCTCTCTGTACCCTCCCTTCTGCCCAGACCCTCTGTCCCCCTTCTATCTCTATGCCCATCCCTACAGAGGTCTCCCAGGGTTTCGGTCTCTCTCTCTCTCCCCCTTATAACCGCTTCCTCAGTTTCCACACTGTATCAGTCTCCCCCTTTGGCCATGGCTCCCAGGATGTGTCTACCTTTCCCGCCCACAGTCACCCTTAGCACCACCGTCCAGAGGCTGACCAGGAAGCCTTTCCCAAGGGATGTGCAGGACCTACTACCCAGATCGCTGCTGGCTGGCTGAGGGATGGATGTCCGAGAGCCACAGGCATTCACAGCATGCACACAAACAGGACAGGACTGGCCAGTACCTCGGTAGGAGAGCCGCAGACGAGGCACACTGGGGCTGGGACCGGGGCTGGGGCTGCCCCCATGGGACAGGAGGCTCCCCAGGAGACAGCAGCAGATGGCCCAAGCCGAGGGGGCCATGCTGGGAAAAAGGAGCTGCCTTCTGAGCCAGCTGCTGGAGTAGTTTGCGCTGCTGCCACCAGGTCGGCCACTTATAAGGCGGTGGCTCCACCCAACGCTGGCCGGGGAGGCGGGGAGGCAGAGGGAAGCAGAGGAGCTCCAAGCCTGCCATCTACCAGCAGTTTCTCCAGCCACCTCAGCTGGCCCACACAATGCCGGTGCAGCAAGCCAGCCTGTCCCCCCTTAGGAGATTCCCTCCTAGCTGAGGTGTGGACAGTCTGAATGACGGACACTCACAAATGCAAGTACCCAGGCTCCAGCAAAGCGGCAAAGGGGTAAAACAACCCGGAAAAGAGGTCAGGGATCATCAGGTGGGGGTCTGGCTTTACTCTCTGCCTCTCCAGAGACATCCCCATGACTAGCCCTGGGACCCTACCCCCCAGCTGGGGTACAGTGTTCGTTTCTAACCCAAGGAACTCATCCTACTAAGGGCTTAAGACCTAGCCACACTTCACAGGTCTGGCACTGGTAAGAAATGAATGTCTAAGGTGGTGGTTCTCAACCGGTGGGTCATGACTCCTTTGAGGTAGAAAGACCCTTTCTCAGGGGTTGCCTAAGACCACCAGGAAACACAGATATTTGCATTACAATGCATAGCAGTAGCAAAATTACTGTTAGGAAGTAGCATTGAAAATAATTGTATGGTCGGGGGTCACCACAACATGAGGAGCTGTATTAAAGGGTCGCAGCATTAGGAAGGTTGAGAACCACTGGCCTAAGGTCACCTACGCAGACCTCCCCAGCCTCCATAGCCCCTCCCTGAATCTCCTAGGCTCCATCTCAGCTCAGCAGGCTTTCCCTGAGGTGGGGACAAGGTTTATCCAAAGCCCAGGGGACCTTCCATTTTCTTGCTTCCTTCAGGCCTGCAGTCTTTCAGAGGCCCAGGGGCCAGAGCACAGTGGGTGGTGGTGAGTTCTTCCCAAGCCCATGGGCCCTACATGCTTTAGTTCCACCAGATTTCACTGTTCTGCCCCAAACTCGAGTGAGGAGTGCATGAAAAGGAGCCAAGGGGGAGGCAGGCAAGGAACTGGATCTGGGTAAGCGGGAACCCCCACACCACCACCATTTCAGAGCAGTTTCTGTCTCCACCACCCCCAGCTCCTACCTCACCCCACCCCACACCCTCCTTTCAGAATCCATGACCTTCAAAGTTAGAGCTCCCAGAATTCTAGAAATGCCTGTAGGATGGGCCTCCCAGATGGAGTGGCCTGAGCCCTTGGGAGGTGGGTGGCAGGAAATCCATGAGCAGCTGTTGGGAGAGAGACTTGACTCCAATCAACCCTGGGGCCCTCTTTTGCTTCTGGGCTTCCTGGAGGGTGGGAATCCCAGGACCCTACCTCCCTTCTCTGTCTCATCTCCAGAAAGGAAACAGATTAGCCCTTGGCTCAGCATGAGAAGAACCCATGGCTTACAATTCCACCTCCCTATTCCCCTGGACCCTAGAACATTAATGTGGTGGGGGCTTTTTACCTGGAAGTCGACCAGGGGCTGCTTAGAGACACTAGCAAGTGGCCCCAACCCACCCCTGCCTCGGACTCTGCTCAAGAGCTCTAACCAATGCCCTTCACAACCTGGGTCTGCCTTCTCCTCCTGAGGCCAAGGGACCAGTCGTCCTGGATATGAACTTATACACTGAAGAATGGTGCCTGTCGGGGCACTGATACAGTGGAGTCTACCCTGGAGTCTCAGTAGGTGGAGACGCTCTGCCTCTACTTCCCACGGGAAGCACTGTACCTAGCCCAGGCCGAGGCTCTGTGTCTTGCTTGAAATTGAGCTAGACAAGCCCCTCAGCCACCATGTGGCCGCAAGTTGAGAGTGTGAGCAGGGTGCCTCCTCAGGCCACCACCCCGGGGGTCTGCACTCAGCCAGACCCTAGCTGTGGCTGTAGGGAGGCCTGCGTCTATCAGGACAGGCATGTGGGGTGGGCAGAAAAAGCCTGGGACAGAGCCTGGGGGCCCATACTCAGCTGTGTGGACTCAGTCAGGTTTCTCCCTCTGTTGCTCTCTCCATCCCTCCCTTTCTCCTTTTCTTCCTCGGTTCCCCAGTCTAAGCAGCAGGATATGGATCCTTTCCCAAAGGACCCTTCCTTCCTCTCAGCTGCAGACCCAAAGGCACGCTGGAGCCTCGCACAGACCCCTGGTGCCACCTAATGGACAAAGATGGAACTTCATGAGAGATCAAAATCGCCAATCCGGGTTTGTGCTGGAACCTGCTCCTGAGCAATCAGGCAGTTACCTAGACACCACAATACAGAGAGACAGAAGCAGGAAAGGTGCTCCGGCTATCTCTTCTAATGGAAAAAATCAAGGGAGGCTTCGCGGAGAAAGCCCTATCCAGGCAAAGAACGACAAAACTCCACAGTGGAGAGGCCAGAAATAGGTGATGCATGTGAGTGCTGTGACGTTAGCTGGTGGGCACTTGGGATCTCTGGACTGATTCCTATGGCATGTGTGTGTTCTTGTAGCAGGTGCCACCAGGTGGATACACTGGGTACACTTCTGAGGCAACGAGGCCTGGAAGGAACAGCTCCCCCTTTTCTGTCCTCAACTGCCATGGCATTTTCTAGAACTCCCTTCAATGAATGGGTTATGACCTCCTTCATCTCTCCCAGAATGGTTCCCACCTCTGGCAGCTGATGAAGAGAGCCAGGGATGGCAGGGACATTCCCTCTCTCCTTAATGCCCCTTCTGGACAGTTCTCACTGCTAAGCCCCAGGCAAAGAGGCAGCTGTGTAGCAGGTTTAGCCATCACAGTGGGCTTGACTCTGTCCCCTCCCCAGTCACTGCCCATCACCTCTCTCTCCCCACACATACCTCAGGCACTCTTCAAGTGGCCGCCCAGGACATGCCTTCCTGTGGGCATCTTTGGAACATGTCTCCCTTCCTCTGGGCGTTACCACCACACTCAGTACCCACACCCACACCCACACCCGTACCACAGTCTTTCACCAAGATTTAAACTAGAGGCCACCTGCCCGCCCCTCTAGTTTAAATCTTGGGCCCAGCACTATGGCCCGGCCTTGTGGACAATGGTGGCTGAGCTGCCCAGCCTCTCCAGCGCCCTCGATGGGTTGTTTCCATCAGCACACCGGTCATTCCCCACCCATCCTCAAACATCCTTCTCCCTAGTCCCTGTTCTTCCTGTGGACCCCGCCCATTCCTCTGATTTTTGGTGGTTGTCCACACCATTCCCTGTCTCCCAGACCACTGCTCACTCTCTTCAGGCCCCTCTAGTCTGACTTTCATCCTACTGCCCCCTGGGACCCTCCCACCCAGATAGCTAAGGCCTAGAAGGAGGGTGAGAGGGAAGGGAATGGGGGAGGGCTCTAATTCCAAAACCCTGGAGCCACTAGCCGTCACTCAGGCCTGTTTCTGTCACCCATCAACTCTCATCCATGTGTCCTACCCAACTGCTCACGTCAGGTTCAGGCACCCGGTCTCTGCCGCTTTCTCTGGGGCCCTCATTCATGGTTTACAAAACTGGAAAAGGGTTTCCGGCTCTGCTGACACCCATGTTCCTGGCTCTCACTCCGCCCTCTGTTAGCTCCCATCTGTGCGTCTCCCCACCAGCCCGTCCCAGCATCTCAGCTTTGGTTCCTCATCTTTCTTGTAGTCAGGCCATCTAAACTGCCCCACCTAAAATTTCTCCTGAGGAAACCCACCCGGACCCTGAGAGAGCCTACCAAAGAACCAGGCTGGGAGCCGGAGCGGTGACTCGCTTGGTAAAGTGCCTGCTCTGTGAGTGCGAAGACCTGAGTGTGAACCCCAGAACCCACTGAATAAAACAGGTGTGGTGGCAGGTTCTTGTGACCCCAGCACTGGGGAGGTAGAGACAGGGCGGTCCCTGGGGTGCACTGTTCCGTCAGCCTCACCGGTGAGTTCGCAGGGTGAGTGAAAGACTGTCTCAGAAAAGATGCTGGACAGCACCTGAGAAATAACCCTCTGCAGCTGACCTCTGGCCTGCACACACACACACACACACACACACACACACGCACACGCACACGCACACGCACACGCACACGCACGCGCACGCGCACGCGCACGCACACGCACACGCACGCGCACGCGCACGCGCACGCGCACTCACGCACGCACATGCACACACACAGATAGACAGACAGACAGAATGAACAATGGATAAGAGTGCTTACTGGGCAAGCGTGAGGACCCGAACTTGACCTCCAAGACCCACATAAAAAGTCAGGCATGGCCACGTACGCACCTGCAATCCCAGTGCTGGGGGCAGACAGAGACAGAAGGATTGCTGGGGCTGCTGGCCTAGCTCAGTTTCTGTGAGAGAACCTCTCTCAAAGGAATTAGGCAGAGCAATAGAGCAAGGCACCCAGGGTCTTCCTCTGGCTTCTGCATGTACTCAAGAGTGTGGGTACACACACACCCAAGAGTGCACACACACACACACACACACACACACACACACACACACACACACACACACCAGAATGAGCCTGTACTCCTTCCAAATCAAGGTCTTAAAGGAGGAAGAATGACTGAGAAACCGTCGCAAATCGACAAGGAGTCAGGATAGCTTGAATACACGGATGTCATCTTCACCACACAGTGGCTGATCCAGGAACAGAACTCTGGGCAGCTGACAAAACTTCAGTCAGGTCTACAGGTGAGGTGACAGTGTGATGCTCACGTTGATTCCCTCAGTTTGAGCACCGTCTTGTGGTTATCTAAAATGTTAAAGTTCAGCCGGGCAGTGGTGGCACACGCCTTTAATCCCAGCACTCGGGAGACAGAGGCAGGCGGATCTCTGTGAGTTCAAGGCCAGCCTGGTCTACAGAGTGAGTTCCAGGAAAGGCGCAAAGCTACACAGAGAAACCCTGTCTCGAAAAACTAACTAACTAACTAACTAACTAACTAACTAACTAACTAACTAACTAACTAAATAAATAAATAAATAAATAAATGTTAAAGTTCAGCCGGGTGGTGGTGGCACAGGCCTTTAATGCCAGCACTCAGGAGGCAGAGGCAGGTGGACCTCCGAGTTTGAGGCCAGCCTGGTCTACAGAGCAAGTTCCAGGACTACACAGAGAAACCCTGCCTCAAAGAACAAAACAAAAGGAAAACTCAAGTCCAAGCCAGCATAATTTTCACATTATAGTCCCAGCACTTGGGAGACCTTGGTGGGGGACAGCACACTTGGGGCTAACCTGAACAACCTTGGAGACCTTGGTTGGGGGACGGCACACTTGAGACCTTGGTGGGGGACAGCACACTTGTGACCTTGGTGGGGGGACGGCACACTTGAGGCTAACCTGAACTACCCTGTGAGATCTTGCTAAAGCAGGCCAGAGGACAGCTGAGAGTAGTTTGGATCTTTTTACGTTTATACATTTGTGTATGTGCATGGGGGTGGGGTCGGGTGCAAGTGTGCCACTGTGCATGTGTGAAGGTCGGAGAACAACTTTCATAACCACTCCCAGCATCCCTCCTGGGACAGGCTAGTTCTCTACGAGACAGGAGGGAACAGTAAAGCAGTCCAAGTGTAACAACACTGTGTCCATTGGGTCCCAGGGGTCAATCTCAGGTCATCCACCAGCTTGGTAGCAGGTGCCTTTATCCACTGCAGCATCTCCCTGGCCTGAAAATGGGAGTATTTTGTGCTATTTCTACATGTTTTTTTTTTTTTCTTTTCGAGACAGGGTTTCTCTGTGTAGCTTTGCGCCTCTCCTGGAACTCACTTGGTAGCCTAGGCTGGCCTCGAACTCACAGAGATCCGCCTGGCTCTGCCTCCCGAGTGCTGGGATTAAAGGCGTGCGCCACCACCGCCTGGCTTCTACATGTTTTAAAGTCTAGAATTTCACAAAAAGATAAATACCAAAACTGGATGCAAAGAAATTTCCATCCCTAAAACCTCTGATCTAAACTTGTGCCTCCCCAGGCGTTCATATCTCAAGAAATGTCAACGTGACCAAAACTCTAAGGGTCACCCTGGAGTCCCTCGTCCTCTCAAGTTCAAGCCTTCGGCAATTTCTACCTATAGTGATTTCAAAACATTCCCCCAAACCCTCCATGCCCCTTTGCTCCTGCATCCCACAGTACCAAGAGCCACCCCGCCTTCTCACCCAGCTGCTGGCAGGCGTCCTGGCCTATCAGCCCTTCTCCCTCTGCAGCCCCAAGAATGCCTCACTCCTTTCGTAAGCTGAGATGTTCGGGAGCATGTAATGTCTGTTATGTTAGTAAACTGTTGTGTGCTGTTTAAGCTTGTAGGAAGTAGAACCTGGGAGCCAGGGGAAGCTCCTCTGTCCCAGACTCCAGCAAGCTTATTTCAAATATTCTCCAAAATGTTTCCTGTGGCAAACTTTCTCCTAGCTCTGCAACAGGAGAGAAATAGTTAAAACAATCTAAAAGTAAAAAACACTGTGCCTGAGAACAGCCAGAAGGTCAGCCGTTTCCAACTGATTTTACTTTTATTTAATCCTATGATGTAAAACGTCTCCAGTGGGGTGGAGGGGTGGGGTGGTCAAGGTCATCACAAGGGAACCCACAGAAACAACTAACCTGGGCCCATAGGAGCTCACAGACTCTGGACCGACAGCTAGGGAGCCTGCATGGGACCAATCAAGGCCCTCTACATAAGCGTGACAGTTGTGTAGTTTGGTCTATTTGTGGGACTCCTAACAGTGAGATCGGGGCCTGTCCTTAACGCTTGGGCTGGCTTTGGGGAACCTACTCCTCATACTGGATTGCCTTGCTCAGACTTAATAGGAACTTAGTCCTACCTCAACTTGGTATGCCATGCTTTGTTGGCACCCATGGGAGGCCTGCCCCTTTCTGGACAAAAACAGGAAGAGTGAATTGAGGGGGCAGAGGGAAGGCAGGGGGAGGGAAGGGGAGGAGAGGAGGGAGGGGAAAACTGTGGTGGGGATGTAAAATAAAGGAAAAAATGTAATTAATGAAGAAAAGGGGGAGAGTGCCAGCAGAGAGGGAGGGAGAAGCCATGGGGAAGAAAGCTCAGCTGGGAACTGCTGCCTTCTTCAGTTTGTCCCGCTGGCTTGGGCTGATGTTGTCCGAACCTGACTGGACGTTGTCTATCTGCGGCAATGTTCTTTTACTCATCGCGGAGACGGTCTCCACCACCCAAGACTCTCTGGACTGGGAACTCCAGACAGCTGCCCACGCAGGGCTTCCCCAGCTGATTTGGGCTGGATGGTTATAAGTCTCCAGTTTGATGGCCTTGTCCTCTGTTTGCTCTCGGTGGGGCTGAGAGAGCATCTCTGCCGGATGTTTGGATAATGTCCTGCTAGCTACCGCTTCTCTCTCTCTGTGACTATTCTTTTACTTTTGCTTGCTACATACTTAATAAACTCATTTATAAACCAAAGGCAGACTACGGCAGATCGTTCTCTGAGCACTACAGAACAGGAGGCCAGGCACTGCCCACCTCTCCCTGAGGTAACTGGGGCTCAGCTTCTGTCCCAGGGCTGCCTTCCTGCTCGAGACCCATTTCAAGTCTTCCCATTGTGCCCCACAGCTGGTTCATTGGTGTTCTTCGGGGTTCTGCCCAAGACTTCCTCTTCCAGGAAACATCCCAGGACGACTTTGTGTCAGGCTACCACACCATGCTGCTTTCTCACTGAATTCCTTTGCCTTTTCATTTCCCAGAGTTGGCTAGAGATCCTGAGATTAGGAACAAGGCCTCGCTCTGATATACCACAGCATCTAGCTCTATACTGCAGACAGGGTGTGTGAAGCAGAGGCCACTGAATGACGCACTGGCAGGCTGTACCACTCACTGTGGCTTCTCCTCCTCTGGGACATCATCCTCACTGGGTCACTCTGGATATCTTCATAGGACCCTAAGTTCTCCAGTTCCCAATCCCAAGGGCAGGCCTGCAGGGATCCCCTCTCCACTCCTCCCATGGCTCTGCAGGGACTGGGAACTCCTGACAACTCTTGCCCAGCCAGAGGCATGTCTAGAATTCCAAGACTCTCTCTGGAATGTGCAGCCTGTCTGGAGAATGCTGAGGCTGGGGCACAGGTGCAGAGGCAGTACAGTAGCTGGGCGGAGCAAGGACAGCTGCTGACATTCTGGCTGGAGCCTGGTTGTCATTATCAGCTGTCTGTTCTGAAAGCATTGCTACCAACACCTCCATTTCCTTGCAAACCCCCAACATCCCCCCCTCACTGTTTTGGCTGCAGCTCTGACCTGGGCACCCCCACTAAGCTGGGGATATCTCCAGACCTCAGGCCTTCATTTCCTGTCAGGGAAAAAGATCAGACAGGTGACTGGAGGCCAATCTCAGAGGGCCCAAGGAGCTAGACAGTAGGTCCATTTGACCTAGTCTGTCAGAGTCCTTGGCTGGCGGCAACGTGGCTAAGCCCTCTTGTAGATTTGCCAGATGACCTTGGCTCTCTGGGCCATTGGGTCTTCATCTGTAAAATCAACGACAGAGTGTGGAGTAAACTACATGCTCATCAGAGGCCAAGAGTCAGTCAGTATTCCCGGTGAGAAATACAAGGCAGTCGGGAGATAGTTAGTGCCATAAGCCTGCTGGATCTCACGAGATTTAGCTTCATTCCAACCAGGATGGAGAGGTTGCTGTGCCAAGGAGCACCCAGTACCCACTGAACTAACTGCTCCCCCTCAGAGGATATCTGTTGGCTGCCATACTGGCTGACCCAGGCAGCTCACCCCCATCCCAGAGCTGGCTAAAGTGGGAGGTGGGAATGGGCAGCTTTTAGTGAAGGTCAGTGTCGGCTGCACACCTTTCATGAACTTGTAACAATGCAGGCTCTGGGGCTGCTGCAGGGCCCAGCTCTCAGCAAGGCACAGAGCAAGGCATCTCTGACCTAGTGAAAGTCCTCTGGTAGAAGGTGGGTTGAGCAGTCAGAACACAGGCTCTGCAGCCAGCCTGACAGGGATGACGGCATCAGGCAGGAGGGAGCCCTGAGAAAAGACTGTGGCCCCAGGAAAATCAGAGCAAGATACCAACCTCTAGGGAGCAAGGATTTATTTGCATTCCCCAGGACAGGAAAGGGGAGAGAGTCTAGGTTGGGTGGCGGGGAGATTAAAGGACACAACCAGGTTCAGAGTCTAGAGAATCCAGTTGTACTGGTACCACAGGGTCTGTCTGGAGAGGGAGGCCAGGCGTGGGGGCAACTCTGTGCAAAGTCAATGTCTACTCCACACCCTTCATGAATTCCAGGAACTCTGTGGAAAGAGGACCGTGTACGGGTCAGATAAGAGCTGGGCAGAGGATGAAGAGCAGCAGGGTGGTCCTCCCACCCACTCACCATCATAGTCAATTCGGCCATCATTGTTCTTGTCACCATCCTTCATGAGCTCTTCAATGTCATCCTCTGTAATTGTCTCGCCTGTAGCCTGCAGCATCATCTTCAGCTCATCCAAGTCGATGTAGCCGTCCGCATTTCTACAGGGGGCACCTCAGAGCTCAGGAGGGGGCACCTCAGAGCTCAGGAGGGGGCACCTCAGAGCTCAGGAGGGGGCACCTCAGAGCTCAGGAGGGGGCAGAGGAGGAGGGAAGAGGCACCGCACACATACAACCCCAGGAGACAGGGCAGGGAGACTAGAAGATGTCTAGTGTCTCATCACACAGGATGGGAGATAGACTGACTGCAGGGTATCTAGCATGGGATCGGAGACTACCACTTTCTTTCTTTCTTTCTTTCTTTCTTTCTTTCTTTCTTTCTTTCTTTCTTTCTTTCTTTCTTTATCCCTTTCTTGTTTTGTTTTTTTTTCAAGATAGGGCTTTTCTGTGTAGCCCTGGCTGTCCTGGAACTCGCTCTGTAGACCAGGCTAGCCTTGAACCCAGGGACTGGCCTGCCTCTGCCTCCGAGTGCTGGGATTAAAGGCGTGCACCACCACTGCCCAGCTGAGACTACCCCTTTCTACGCTCTGCTTGGGTCAGGGTCAGAAGGCAAGCATGTTCTCACTTGTCAAACATGCGGAAGAGATCCGAGAGCTCCTCCTCAGACTTCCCTTTGCTATCATCCTTCATGCACCGAACCATCATGACAAGGAACTCGTCGAAGTCCACTGTGCCACTGCCTGTGGGTAGATAGCAGGGCCGGAGAGAGGAGGTTAGCACTCAGGCAGTGGCCTCCCCACACCAACCCTGCAGGGCTAGTGTGTTCATTTGCCCACTCTTCTTATTTGAGGCAGAATCTTGCTTTGTAGTCCAAGCTGGCCTGGAGCTCCCCATGTGACCCAATCAGACTGGCTTCAGACTCCTCACAGCCACACTGCCCCAGCCTTCTTGGGATTACAGGCACAAGCTCTTTGCTGAGTCTCTGGACGAGATGGCTAAGAGCTGGAGGCCAGTGAGCCCAGGGAGACTGGAGTGGGTGAAGGGGCTCACCATCTTCATCCACTTCATCGATCATCTCCTGCAGCTCCTCAGGTGTGGGGTTCTGGCCCAGCATCCTCATCACCTTGCCCAGCTCCTTGGTACTGATGCAGCCGTCCTCCGCACCCAGGACAAAGATATCAAAGGCAGCCTTGAACTCTGTGTCCAATGGTAGGGTGATGGGATGGGATCAGCAGTCGGGACACTAGAAACCCAGGTCCCTGGGGCCACCAGCAGACCGCCCACCTCCCTCCAAGAGTTCTTTGAAGTCATAGCAAGGAGAACCCTCAGACTGTGGCCTCTAATCTGGGGTTCTTTCCTGGAAAGGCATCCCCACATACCCTCCATCCAGCCACACTGTCCCCTCAATGGGTGACACTTACCATTCTTCTGCTCTTCTGTCAACTGCTCTACCTAGAGAGGAAAAGGGAACTCAGGACCCAGACTCAGGCCTTAGTGGAGACTGCTGTAGAGACTGACCCATTCCACAGGTAGGAAGACTGAGAATGGAAGGAGGCACCCACTCCCAGGTTACAGAGGAAGTCCTCAGTCCTTTCCTGACCCAGCTGATCTTCCAGAGGCTGGGCTAGGGGCCAAGATGACAGGCAGGCACCCCTTCCAGGAGCAAGGTGTCCTGAGTAACAATACTCAATGACCATTCCATGTCCTTTAGATCACCCTAATGAAACCTAAGCTGCATGGCCTAAGAGACAGCTGTCCCTCAGGTTGAGACAATAAAACTAATGTGGGGGTGAGCAAAGCCTCCCTCTGTAACCGGACCAGGGTGGCCACTGAGCTATTTTTAAAGGAGGACAAAGTTAAACCTGGTGATTGTTCTGGGGACTTTGGTATGTGGGGGGTGGGGCAGTGTTATCTGCCCCCCTGGCCTACTGGTGCTGCCTGGGGAGCCAAAATTAGTTCCCAGCCCCGCCAGGCCTTGTATGGACACTGGGTGGAGGGCTAACCCCCCCACACTCCAGCTCCATGGACTCCTACAAGATAGGCAAGGATACCATAGGAACCAGCTGCAGCCCTTCCCTGCTCACAAGAGGGGCCATATTCTGGGTGTTGGGGGAGAAGTCTCTGGGAACAGCTGTTTGCCAAGATTTTCTTGTCCCTGGAGCAGGTAGTGGTTGTATCAAAAGCCCCTCAGGGTCCCCAGGAGATTGCAGAGTCTTGGGGTGATGTTCTTTAGCCCTGACTCCTATCACCCTCAATGTCTACCTAAGCCCTGAGCCTGCCAGACCTTACAAGGACTAGGTTTCAGCTTTCTGTTCCCTCTCCCCTACCTCTCCCCAGACCTGGACCTTCTAAGCACCTTCCCCATCCCAGAATTTAAGTTCTGCAGCCCTCCTCACAGTTGCCTCCCACCTTCTAAAGCTTCTTCCGCCAGCTAAGGGGCTAGAGGAGGGTGGCAGAACTGAGCATGTAAGAAGCAGATCGTGAGAGGTGGAAATGGGGTGGGGGCTGGAGATACACAGCGAGACAAGGACTCGGAGAGACAGTGAGGAGGGAACAGAGGTGGAAAGACCCTGAGAAGGACCAAAGGCCTAAAGAATAGACACACAAATACAGAGGTGTGGCCAAGACAGAGACAGACTAGACATCTAGAAACAGAGGGTGACACAGGATGCGAAAAGCTGAGACCACATCCTCTAGCCACCCTGACAGTCCCTCTCCAGACCCCAAGACTCCTTCCTTTTCTGCACCCTCCAAATGTCAGCCCCACTATTCCTTTGAGGGGCTTAGCGACAGCTGTGTGGGGCCTCTTTCGAGTCCTCCATCACTTCCCTGGGGCACCCTCGCCCCCCATTCTGAGCTGAGTGAACCCCCAGTGGACCTACCCATCCCAACCCTTTAAAGACTTATCTCTCACCGCGGCTTTGTAGATGTCATCCATGCTGGAGGCAGCTCACAGGACAGGCTACTGGGGTTGCCAGCCAGCCAGCCCTCAGCCTGGGCTTAAATAGCCCTGCCTCCCTCCACCTCCTGCTGCATTCCCAGCCCAGCCCACCACTGCCTGTAATATCCTCCACCCCCTCCCCTGGTCCCTGTAATCTCAGGCTGGCCAGAGTCCCTGTATCCTCTGCCTGGGCCAGGAACTATGAAAGACCATAAGGACCAGGTCCCTTGCCACCTGTTCCCTGTACCCCACAGTGAACGCTCAAGAAAAAACCTATTATTATATTTATTTATGTGTGCATGTAGGAGATCAGAGGATAACTTGCAGGAGTCATCTATTTCTCTCTATTACCCAGATTCCCAGGACTGAACTCAAGTCTTCAGGCTTGACAGCAAGCACCGAAATGCATATATATGCCATCTCAACAGCCCCCAAGAAAAGTTTCTTGAGTGACTGAAAACATGGGGTCCAGTCCCAGACAGGAAATGTGAAGTAGTGGGCCAGCCAGGTCCCTAAAATGGGTTAATTTTCTCTGCAATCAGAGAGGTGGGTGGCAACGCCCCCATTTTCCAGATGAGGAAACAAGCTTTCAAACAGACAGTGACTACCTACAGAAAGCCCCTGCCTCATATTACATCTCTCGGGAGGGGGTAACATGCAAACAGGGGCTAGCAGTGTAAACCCTGCCAAGAAAAGCCTCCCACGTAAGGTTCAGAGTATAACATGAAACTGGTCCACCTAGGATAGGCTAGCCTGGAGCCCTTCAGCCAGATCGGCCATGCCCCAGCCTTCTGTCTCTCAAGGAGAGCAATGTCCACTTTGGACTTGAGTCAGCAGTGCTCTCTGATTCAACAAGTATTCCTAAAGAATCCTATCTATATCAGGATTCTCTTCCTTCATCCTCCAACTGGGCCATCTCTTCTCCAGCTAGTCCCCATGGCTAATGTTTGCTCATTCAAGCCCTGAAGGTTTTGTGTCCAGGGCCAGTCTGGGTCCCCCTCAATCTGAGCTCTTGCAGGATGTCATCTGGGGAACCAGATGGGCAGCACATATCCCTTCCCCTCACCTGTACCTCTGCTTCATATACATTTCCCGTGAACACTCCGGTTTGCAGCCTAGCACACAACGGGGATGTGCTGGGCAATGCAGAACCACCACACTCAATTCTCCATCACTACATGTGACAACAGACTCCCCGAGTCTCAGAGAGTCACTCTGGTCCCTGCTCCAGCTCCAAGTCCGGTTCTTATCTTCTCCATCTCGCTCTTGCTACACAGGGAATGAGCCTAACAGCCAGGCGAGACCCTAGTCATGTCCCCTCTGGAAACTGAGGCCAGGCGAAGCAGACTGACTTCGGAGAGTTCAGAAGGCCCCTGGCCTCTAGCCTCCGTTGCTGAGGGCCTAACGGACAATAACCAACAACCGCAAGAGAAGCGAGACGCCACACAGGTAATACAAAAGGCAGCTAGGCCAGCCCGCGCGGGAGCTGCGCATGCGCGCCACTGGCGAGTCCTGTCAATTATGGGCGAGGGGCGGGGCGAGGGCGCGGGAAGGCAGTGGGGGCCAAGATGGCGGCGCGGGTGCGGGCGGGGGGCGGCGGGGGCCGGGGGGCGGCGGGACGCTGACCCCGCCCCCTGCTGCTGCCAGTCTGCGCCGGGCGTCGGCAGCGGCGGAGCCCGCAACATGGCGGCGGCGGCGGCACTCAGCCTCGGGCCCGAGCGGGAGGCCGAGCCGGCCAAGGAGGCGCGCGTCGTGGGTTCCGAGCTCGTGGACACGTACACGGTGTGCTGTGGTGGGGGGACGCGGGCACCCAGAGCGGGCATCGCGCCTGGAACCAGGAGTCCGAGTCGGGGGGGGGGGCTCGAGGAGGGGCCTGGGTCGCCCATCCCCGAGAGGGTAGAAGGTTGTGGGATGGCGACGAGGGAGCCCTAGCAGTGGGGTTTTCAGAGGAAGGGGCCGGGTCGCATAGGTCCTGGAGGAGGTTCTAGGGCGGGGCGCCTGGAGGGGGTTGGGAGAAAGGGTGCGCGGTCAGAAAAGGAGACTTGTGTGGGAGGAAACCAGAGGGTAAAGGAGGACCTGGGGAGGAAGGGATGTGTAGATAAGATGGAGCCCCTCTAGATCCTCCAGGCAAGGAGGGATGCCAGCCTAAGAGCTCTTGATAGAGGGTCTAGGAGGAAGGGGACTCGAAAGGGGTGGTCCCTGATAGCTGCAACCAAAGGAAAGGGCCGGGGATCCTCAGGTGGTGAAGGAGAAGGGGCGGATCTTGATCTCTCCCCCACCCCCACACAAGCCAGATCAGCCCTGCGAAGTGAGGGAGGGATGGGGGAGAATGAGCCCTGGGGGTCTGGTGGGAAAGAAATGGACCCCAGTCGTTGGGAAAAGAGAAGTTACCTTAAGGCTGAAGTACAGGACCTACAAACCTTAGGGGACTTCATGGCTTAGGGAAGAGGGACAGTGAGCTTCTAACGTATCCTTGGAGGCTACAAGGGAGGCCCGACAAAAAAAAAAAAAAAAAAGGAAGGTAGTTATGGTGATGGTGTTAGAAGCCCTCTTGAGTCTGGATAGGGTAGGATGCCAGGCCTGCCAGGTGAAAACTTGTTCTGTGGTGGGGGCTCATAGAGCCTGTCTCCTTGTCCTTTGTTCCCAGGAGGGTGGACAGTGGTAAGGGCCTTGGCCCTGCCTTTGCCTCACCCCATTGGCTCCCATCCTATGCCGGATCCTGAGGGCTGTTCCTCTAGCCCTTCTCCCCCCTGTAAGGAAGGGGAACTGTCGCGGTGGAATTATGGCGGGTGGCTCCTGGAGCAACAGGCTGGTGCTAGAGAAATGGCTGCCTCTGGGGGTCAGAGGAATCAGCCTAGATGACTATTCCCACTCACCCTTCCCTGCTACACAGACGCGGGGGGGGGGGGGGGGGGGGGAGCTAGGACCATGGGGTTTGCTCATCTAGTTAAGGGATGAGGTCACTCCACTATGACTAGCTGCAATCAGTAGAGGTTCATCTCCAAAAGCTCTTCTGTTCGGGGCTTTGTCCTTCCTCTAAGTGACAGGGAGCAAGGTGGTGATCGAAGCTCACCATCATGTCCCTGGGTGTGCTGCATTAGATGTTATTAACATACCTGTCTTTTGTCAGATGTTAGGCCTGCACAAATCATTTCATAATCATTATTTTACTTGATCCTTAAGCCTACCGGGTTTTAAAATGGAGGAATTGAGGCCCAGAGAGAATTTAGGTACCTAGTTACTTACATAAGCTGCACATAAGCCACACCCAGGAAATGGGATAGCCGGATTTTTGAACCCAGGTTTTCTTAACCACCAAAACCGTACTGTCTTCCGTTAAGGCTGATTGGACCACTGCTGTAGGAGCGTGGTGGTGCCTCAACTCCTGGTTCAGCAGCAGAATTCAAAATCAGTCAGTGGAAAATGTTGTTTGAAGACCTGTTCTGGGAGGGAGTCAGAGTACTTGAAAAGATGTATAGCAGAGACACTGGTCCTGCCGAACAGGGTTCTGCTCTACCTCCCTTAGAAGGGGCAGCCTTACCTACAGCTCAGATTGAGTTTTGAATTACATGGAGGCAGGAGGTCAAGGTCTAAGGAGGTGTGTTGAGCTAGTCACAATTCCATTCCTTCCCGATGACCAGAGCACAGCCTTACTCCAGACCTCACAGGGCTGTGGGGGAGGCTGAGGAAGGCTGGTTCACCACTGCTCAGTAGGGGGGTCGGGTGCACAATGGATGTGGAAGGATGCCTGACTCTGGATTTTGGGGGAGTGGGGTCTGAATACTTTGCAACTATTGTGGGGGCAGGGTTCCCTTGCCTCAAGGAATCATTTTTCCCTTTAGGTTTATATCATAAAGGTTACTGATGGCAACCACGAGTGGACAATCAAGCATCGTTATAGTGACTTCCATGACCTACACGAAAAGGTAATCTGAGGAGTTGGGAACCTGCATCTCAGGGCTTAGGGGCTTGAGGACCGAGTCTCCATTGTGCCACACATTAATTTTAGGGCAGAACTGCCTCCACATCTATTTTTTGCTAATTTCTTAAAAATTAAGCCGGGCGGTGGTGGCGCACGCCTTTAATCCCAGCACTCGGGAGGCAGAGGCAGGCGGATCTCTGTGAGTTCGAGGCCAGCCTGGGCTACCAAGTGAGTTCCAGGAAAGGCGCAAAGCTACTCAGAGAAACCCTGTCTCGAAAAACAAAAAACAAAAAACAAAACAAAAAAAAATTTATTTATGACTGGCCATAGTGGTGCATGCCTTTAATCCCAGCAACCGGGAGGCAGAGGCCGGTAGATTTCTGTGAGTTTGAGGCCAGCCTGGTGTACAAAGTGAGTTCCAAGACAGCCAGGGTTGTTAAACAGAGAAACGCTGTCTTTAAAAATAAATGTATAATATATATATAATTTATGTATTTATTTTAGGTGGGAGGGGGTGCACACATGTCACAGCCCATCTATAGAGGTCAGAGGACAGTTGGAGAGAGCTGATTCCCCTTCTACCACATAGGCCCCGAGGATTGAACTCAGATCATCAGATTCAGCAGCAAACGCCTTTGCCAGATGAGCCATCTCATGGGCTTTGTAGTTGACTTTAGTAGACCAGCTCCTTAATGCATCTCACAAAAGAACTGGTTAGTCCTAGGAGTTCAGCCCTAGTATGAGACCTTCTCGAGTAGTATATTTAAATTTTGATTTTAAAATTGCCATATTCCTGAGGCGAGCACAATTTTGAACTTGTTCCACAAAGTATATTTTTACTCTTTAATAACAGATTGAGGTTATATTTTTTCCCTTGATTTTAGAAAGAGCTGCTTTTCTGTGGGATGTTTACAGTGAGAGTGTCTTAAAACATAGCACGGACTCCTTTAGTTTTCAAACTTCAGGGGACCTGAAGCACTACTTTTCTCAATGTCCCCAAAGACTGAAGATGGAATTTCTCACTTGGAATTATAGTAGTGTTTCCAATACTGCTTGGGTTGGAAGAGGCCAGACCCCAGGTGCATTAGTTGGAGCACCAATCCTGGTCCTGCTACCAGGAGTGGCTTAGAAGATATGACCATTGCCAGCCTGGATCTCACA